TTAGAAGTTCGGGGTTGCGGTTCGACGTGGAAATCGAAACCATCGAGCCCTAGAGACTCTCGACATTGAGCTATATTCCTTAGGATTTCAGTTGTTCTCGGTTAATCCCGCAGGCTACTACCTGCAAGCATCAGCTTTCTCCGCGTCGTGTCGTAAAACCTCTAACGCGCGAAACCGCAAAGACATCCCGGTACAAATCGCCAGTCACCGCTATGAAGCTTCTCGTCTTACAATCCCACGATTCCAAGTGATCTTAATCGCGAAACCGAACGAACATCTCGAGATAATTCGCCTGTTCATCCTACGTCTCTGTGACGTTATTAGGTCCGCGGTGTGTCCCAGGGCATTAGGCCATTGTCGAGACTTTTGATCCAGGTTGGGGGAATTTTTTCCGCGATAGAGGAGCCACGGTGCGCGAGTAATGCATCTGGCTACCTGCCAGCTCGAGGCTATCCTTCGACGGCCGCTCGTTTCTGAATGAACAATAGAAAATGTCTGGCTACTCGCGGCGCTGCCGCCGCGTCGTTAATGAATACCTTGAATCGGCCTGGCCTCGAGTTCACCGGGCGTTTTACAGGTGCACACGCAGGCGTACACGCAGCCGTTCCACTGGAGGATCGACTGCCAACAGTTTCGACCGGAATAACGCGTCGATGTTGTGCAGGAAGTCGCGTTAAGACTGGTCATGGGAGAACCGATCTTCATCCTATTGGTCCCAATCGAAATTCGAATTCTAATTTTCCTCTTCAATTAGACCGATGGTTGCCAAATTTCGAGCAACCTAGCTCTCACGCTCACATACCTGTAATGAAATGTATTATACGTAATTAATATATGCAATATGACAAAACTTCGGTCGCAGAAAGATCGACTTTGTTAATGGTATAGATCCCAATCGAAATTGGAAATTTCTTATTTTCCTCTTCAATTATAGCATAACCCGATGGTTGCCAAATTTAGATTAACCTAGGTCTCATGCTCACAAACCTGTCAAAATTATCAACGATTAATCAATCAAATATATTATACGTAATATATGCCATATGGAGAAATTCACATCGCAAAACGAGGCTTCCATAGTGATATAGTCTGACTACCATTGACTATCGTTTTCCCTGAGAAGATAAAAATTCGGAATATTTCACTTTACCGGTAAAATATCGCGCACAGGTGAGAGAACAAAAATAAACGAATTTCGACTTCATCCCAGGCAAGATTAGTTCGAAAGGCTGGTGCTAGTTTTCAGTAACCGCAAGATCGAAAGCCTCTGATTGGCCAGGTAATTGCAACGTTACGAACGTGCACAAGGAGATTCTGGAAAGTCATCAAGGCAATCCCTCTTATGTACATTCGCGAATATCGAGCACTTTGGTAGCATCGTTATTAAGTGCTCATCTCGGTTATATGATCCGCGGTGCGTTTCGCTGATTCGCAGCCGACATTAGTTGCGACCATAAACGATCCGCGCATACACGAGCATGAATAATTCCGTTTTAATGGAACGATGTTTAATGCATGAGCAAAATCCACACGTACGCGTTAGAGACACAGGAAACAATAGGGAGTTTCTCGTTAACGAAGCCCAGGAAATCAGTTGCCCGATACGATTTTTCAACGTAAACAGACCGCTTAAGAACCGTTTCTTCTCCCTTCTACGCCCACCTACGGCCACCAATTAAATCACCGCGCGTCGAAAATGGAGGAAAAGGGAGCACCGGAGGGGCCCGAAAAAGCTGGAGAGAAAGCTGGAGAAAAAGTTGGAGCGAAAGCGAGAGAAAGAAGGATCGAGAGCCGTGCGAATCGATGCCGAAAACGAAGGACGACGAAACGGAGTGGATCGCGCGTACACACGTCCATCTGCGGCGGTGGCGTGCGAACATCGGCGTTTTCAGAACTCGTAACAGCATCACCTGGGAAGATAGGCTTGGTAAACTGCTTCTCCCTCGACTCCCGTTTCGCCGACAGCGAAACGTTACTTCCCTTCTGGGAAGAGAGGGCCCTGGGTATCCTGTTTAAGTATCGCCGGGCACGCCATCGGCGAATCCAGCGTTTCGTCCTTTTGTTTCTACCCTTTTTTTCTCCCTCTCACCCTTTTCCTCTTTCCACACCCGATTC